AATGCACGAGAGAAACACAAAGTAAAATCTAGAATGGAACGGTTTAAGTCAGAGTACAGGCTATTCATCTAATCTGACAGAGATCGAGCTGTTTTGTAACGAGGAATGGGCTAAACTTTCTGTCTCTAGATGTGCAGGTCTTGTAGAGTCATACCCCAAAAGGCTGCAGCAGAAGGGGATTCCACTCAGAACTGACTCCTGCTGCATGAAAACTGGGTCAGACCCAACAAAGTAAATAACAAAAACAGAATTATGACAGAGAAGACCAGGCACTACAGGTACTGCTGGTTTCAATAGAACATCAAGCCTTTTCCACTAGCTCTACCCTACCACCCTACTCTACCCTACCATCCTACTCTACCCTACCACCCTACTCTACCCTACCACCCTACTCTACCCTACCCTTCTACTCTACCCTACCACCCTACTCTACCCTACCATCCTACTCTACCCTACCATCCTAATCTACCCTACCACCCTACTCTACCCTACCACCCTGCTCTACCCTACCACCCTACTCTACCCTACCACCCTACTCTACCCTACCCTTCTACTCTACCCTACCACTTGTAAGGTTAAACTGAGGGCAGGACCAAGCCTGTCCACTCTGTTTACCATTGACCAAATGGAGAGATACAGCTTCAAAGGAGCCATGGGGTCAGCCACAAGCCGCCATCAATCATGAGGATTACAGATGCCAAAAAGAGTAATAAAGTCACCACGGGGATAAGCACCTCTGTCTCTGCCTGCCTGTAGAGATCAAAGATCACAACCCTGCCCTCGCTCACAGACTCCTGCCACCGGACAATCAAAGACTCTCCCGCGGCGCTCTGACGCCCCCTTGTGAACAATGGACACTATCACACCCGGGACGGACAATTGCGAACCGGTACCCCTGGGTCCAGTACTCCAATAATCTGCATTGTGCCCCATATGTGTGTATCAATGTCAAAGTAATGAAATACGGTGTGTGTTTGTACATGTCTTATGATTATTAGCATCAATCCTGTGTGTTTCCTTTACAAACTGTCTGTTGTAAAAGGGGTCTGTCCACAGAGGGCAGGGGCGGCATGGACACGCCCCCTGGGAAGCCTATATGAGCACCCACACGCCATTGTTCTTTCTCTTGCCTTCTCCTGAAATCACTATCGCAACCTCCCTGGCCATCGGCGTCCCGCGGCATGTGTCTCCTACTACGGTCGCGCCAGCACGCATCGGGCCTTCTACTCCGCCAAACATACTCTCCTCTGGCTCGGGACCTTACGAACCATTTCATCACCAGCCTCTTTCCTTGGCTCTGGACCATACGCGTGCAACCCATTCCGGACTGAGCTGCATACGCGTGGACCAGCAGCTGGACCAACTCGCTGGTTTTGTACCTCCCGCCTGCCCAGACAAAGGAACCACGTGGACTGATCCCCAACCCAAATCCTTTCTCCATCCTCTACGCTCCTTCAAAGTAAGACTGTTCCTTTGTTAAATGTATGATTTGAATGATATGTGTACAACTCCTGCTTTTAATGTGACCAGAAATCCCTTTTCGTTATATTTTTACCCTCATTTTTGTAATCAATAAAATACTTTTCTTTAACTCCACCCCTTCAGAGTCGCGTTGTTAGATCTCGGAATATCACTGGCCGATAAAAGTACTCACTACCTATTAGATTTATAAGACTGACTCGAGGCAAAGTTGGTTTGGATCTGCGCAGTGTGTCATACACTGCTGGTGCCTAAATAAATATAAAGCAGATCCCCACTCGAATAGGACGGCCAGACTCTGATTTGAAGACTAGCCGCACTATTCTTCTCATAACATAATCTGGAGTATTATTACCCTACTACATATAAAAAATTTACCCTACACACTCTACTCTACCCTACCATCCTACTCTACCCTACCACTCTACTCTACCCTACCCTTCTACTCTACCCTACCACTCTACTCTACCCTACCACCCTACTCTACCCTACCACCCTACTCTACCCTACTCTACCCTACCACCCTACTCTACCCTACCACCCTACTCTACCCTACCACTCTACTCTACCCTACCACCCTACTCTACCCTACCTACTCTACTCTACCCTACCACTCACTCTACTCTACCCTACCACCCTACTCTACCCTACCACTCTACTCTACCCTACCACTCTACTCTACCCTACCACCCTACTCTACCCTACCACCCTACTCTACCCTACCATTCTACTCTACCCTACCACTCTACTCTACCCTACCATCCTACTCTACCCTACCACCCTACTCTACCCTACCACCCTACTCTACCCTACCACCCTACTCTACCCTACCCTTCTACTCTACCCTACCACTCTACTCTACACTACCATCCTACTCTACCCTACCATCCTACTCTACCCTACCATCCTACTCTACCCTACCCTTCTACTCTACCCTACCACTCTACTCTACCCTACCACCCTACTCTACCCTACCACCCTACTCTACCCTACCACCCTACTCTACCCTACCACCCTACTCTACCCTACCACCCTACTCTACCCTACCACCCTACTCTACCCTACCACTCTACTCTACCCTACCACCCTACTCTACCCTACCACTCTACTCTACCCTACCACTCTACTCTACCCTACCCTACCTACCACCTACTTACCCTACCACTCTACTCTACCCTACCACCCTACTCTACCCTACCACCCTACTCTACCCTACCACCCTACTCTACCCTACCACCCTACTCTACCCTACCACCCTACTCTACCCTACCACCCTACTCTACCCTACCACTCTACTCTACCCTACCACCCTACTCTACCCTACCACTCTACTCTACCCTACCACTCTACTCTACCCTACCACCCTACTTTACCCTACCACTCTACTCTACCCTACCACCCTACTCTACACCTACCACCCTACTCTACCCTACCCTCTACTCTACCCTACCACTCTACTCTACCCTACCATCCTACTCTACCTACCTACCCACCCTACTCTACCCTACCACCCTACTCTACCCTACCACCCTACTCTACCCTACCCTTCTACTCTACCCTACCACTCTACTCTACCCTACCATCCTACTCTACCCTACCACTCTACTCTACCCTACCCTTCTACTCTACCCTACCACTCTACTCTACCCTACCACCCTACTCTACCCTACCACCCTACTCCTACCCTACCACCCTACTCTACCCTACCACCCTACTCTACCCTACCACCCTACTCTACCCTACCACTCTACTCTACCCTACCACTCTACTCTACTCTACCCTTCTACTCTACTCTACCACTCTACTCTACCCTACCACCCTACTCTACCCTACCACTCTACTCTACCCTACCACTCTACTCTACCCTACCACCCTACTCTACCCTACCACCCTACTCTACCCTACCACCCAACTCTACCCTACCACCCTACTCTACCCTACCACTCTACTCTACCCTTCTACTCTACCCTACCACTCTACTCTACCCTACTCTACCCTACCACCCTACTCTACCCTACCACCCTACTCTACCCTACCACTCTACTCCTACCCTACCACTCTACTCTACTCTACCCTTCTACTCTACCCTACCACCCTACTCTACCCTACCACCCTACTCTACCCTACCACCCTACTCTACCCTACCACCCTACTCTACCCTACCACTCTACTCTACCCTACTACCCTACTCTACCCTACCACCCTACTCTACCCTACCACTCTACTCTACCTTACCACCCTACTCTACCCTACCACCCTACTCTACCCTACCACTCTACTCTACCCTACCACCCTACTCTACCCTACCACTCTACTCTACCCTACCACCCTACTCTACCCTACCACCCTACTCTACCCTACCACTCTACTCTACCCCACCACCCTACTCTACCCTACCACCCTACTCTACCCTACCCTTCTACTCTACCCTACCACTCTACTCTACCCTACCATCCTACTCTACCCTACCACTCTACTCTACCCTACCACCCTACTCTACCCTACCACCCTACTCTACCCTACCACCCTACTCTACCCTACCCTTCTACTCTACCCTACCACTCTACTCTACCCTACCATCCTACTCTACCCTACCACTCTACTCTACCCTACCCTTCTACTCTACCCTACCACTCTACTCTACCCTACCACCCTACTCTACCCTACCACCCTACTCTACCCTACCACCCTACTCTACCCTACCACCCTACTCTACCCTACCACCCTACTCTACCCTACCACTCTACTCTACCCTACCACCCTACTCTACCCTACCACCCTACTCTACCCTACCACCCTACTCTACCCTACCACTCTACTCTACCCTACCACTCTACTCTACTCTACCCTTCTACTCTACTCTACCCTTCTACTCTACCCTACCACCCTACTCTACCCTACCACTCTACTCTACCCTACCACTCTACTCTACCCTACCACCCTACTCTACCCTACCACCCTACTCTACCCTACCACCCTACTCTACCCTACCACTCTACTCTACCCTTCTACTCTACCCTACCACTCTACTCTACCCTACCACCCTACTCTACCCTACCACCCTACTCTACCCTACCACCCTACTCTACCCTACCACTCTACTCTACCCTACCACTCTACTCTACTCTACCCTTCTACTCTACCCTACCACCCTACTCTACCCTACCACCCTACTCTACCCTACCACCCTACTCTACCCTACCACCCTACTCTACCCTACCACTCTACTCTACCCTACCACCCTACTCTACCCTACCACCCTACTCTACCCTACCACTCTACTCTACCTTACCACCCTACTCTACCCTACCACCCTACTCTACCCTACCACTCTACTCTACCCTACCACCCTACTCTACCCTACCACCCTACTCTACCCTACCACTCTACTCTACCCCACCACCCTACTCTACCCTACCACCCTACTCTACCCTACCAGAGGCACAGAGGCGCATGGCAGAGGCATAGAGGCGCATGGCAGAGGCACAGAGGCGCATGGCAGAGGCGCATGGCAGAGGCGCATGGCAGAGGCACAGAGGCGCATGGCAGAGGCACAGAGTCGCATGGCAGAGGCACAGAGGCGCATGGCAGAGGCACAGAGGCGCATGGCAGAGGCACAGAGGCGCATGGCAGAGGCACAGAGGCGCATGGCAGAGGCACAGAGTCGCATGGCAGAGGCACAGAGTCGCATGGCAGAGGCACAGAGGCGCATGGCAGAGGCGCATGGCAGAGGCACAGAGGCGCATGGCAGAGGCACAGAGGCGCATGGCAGAGGCACAGAGGCGCATGGCAGAGGCACAGAGGCGCATGGCAGAGGCGCATGGCAGAGGCACAGAGTCGCATGGCAGAGGCACAGAGGCGCATGGCAGAGGCACAGAGTCGCATGGCAGAGGCACAGAGGCGCATGGCAGAGGCACAGAGTCGCATGGCAGAGGCGCATGGCAGAGGCACAGAGGCGCATGGCAGAGGCACAGAGGCGCATGGCAGAGGCACAGAGGCGCATGGCAGAGGCACAGAGGCGCATGGCAGAGGCACAGAGTCGCATGGCAGAGGCGCATGGCAGAGGCACAGAGGCGCATGGCAGAGGCGTTGCATCAATGTTGGCATGGTTAGCGCTCAATAAAACATCAAACAGGAACCAGAGAACAGCTTTGGATCGGAGCCCACAGCCGTGTCTAAACTGCTCTCTTTTAGCAGCACAATTGTCTGTTCGGGAGTGAAACAAGGCAGAGAAATGCAGGTGCGTGATATTGCGTGGTGTTGAAGTTACATAAAAGTCAAAGAGGAGAGAGAAGGCTAAGCGAATGGGATCTGGAGGCAGATGTAGGCACATGCACAGAGCTGTCAGCAGCCTCCCATCAGACTCCTCTTCCCCCCAGTGGCTTTTCCCGCAAGAGGAAAGAGAGACAGAGACGCCACTATTGAAAATTTCATGTCCAACAGCTCAGCCATTCAGCATTTTATGAATACTCCCACACTCTCCAATGTTCTGTACCTGGCAACCACATGATAGAGCCCAGTCAGGTCAATGCACACGCTATGGAGAGTCTGGTATTTAAATTATTGTAAATATTTCAGCACCGGACCGAATGCAAGTCATTCATAATTAAGGAGAGGCTGGGTAGGCTTGCGTTTGACTTGTGTTGATCAAAAGGGCACAGAGATGCAGCCTGGGAAAGAAATGGTTAAATATGAATGGTATTTGTGGGTCTTGAATAGGTTTATGTGATTAGTAGATGTGTAGATTGTGTGAGGAAGTGGGACAAGTCGTATTGGATGGAGTGTGGTGTTTGTAAAGACATCGCTTCTTTCTATAGGCGTCCACTGATTCCTATGCAACATACGTGACCTAAAGTTATGCCATACTGTGTCCGTCATTGGACGAAAAACCGAGAGCAATTCCTCCACCCACAGTTACAAGCGGCGAGATGGCTTTGCAGGCACATTCCGCACATCTACGCCAAAAACACAATTCAAGAAAATCCATTGAACTTTGTCCAGCTGCCCAGAATTTGCATCACACACGTCTTCAATCAGAGCGAAGCAAGACGGGAGTCCAACCAGGACACGTACAAAAGCACACAGCTTACCTTGGAAACCAGCGATCCGTAATGCAGTGTATAGTCCACGGGATAATCTACACTGTTCCACAACAAAAAGACAATCCGGCATTCGTAAATCCCTTCCCAAAGTCTCTCGGATTTCCAATTCAAAGCTGCTCACAACTTCTTAAACAGGATGTCCTTCACCGCTTGTAATCCACTCCCTCTGTCGGAGCCCACTTATTTTCAGGGCGGACAATCTTTCCTTGCTTCCGCGTCCAAGTGATATTCCGGCTTTGGCTCGGTGATTGTTTCTCAGAGGAATGAGGAGAAGGGGAGGAGGGGGGGTGAGGGGGGTAGAAGCTGGATGGATGGCAAAGGACACAAAACACACGCAAGTCTATTCCGAGCTAACTCCCTGCCTCTGCTGCTGTCGAAATCACCATCCAATCTTCCAAGAGCGGAAAAAAAAGGTAGAAAGAGAGAGACAGAAGGGGTTTGGGGGGTGATAAACTTTGCCCAGGTCTCCCAGGACTGAGAGGTCTCCGATCCAGTGGTAGTTCCTCGAGGTTGGGTCCTTTCCAGCGACCCGGGGAAAGGTTTTTAACATCCAATTTTCCTGGTCTCCGCGCGCCGCACTCCGGAATGGATGCTGAGAAAGGCTCGGAATAAGAAGTCGGATGCATCGGCTCCCTCGCTCTCCCTCGCTCGCCCTCACTCTCACACCCACCCTTCTGCTCCACTCTCTCTCTCTCGCTCTCCAGCTCCTGTTTCAACACATCTATACCGCTTCGGCTTCTGACAATTACCGCTGCGAAATGTGCCACGGTCCGGCCGTCGTTCCTCGGTGCGGGAACAAATAATAGGTTGATGAATATGTAAAATTGGAAAAAGGGAAAGATGCAGAGCGGAGATGCTACGCTATCTCATCTGCATTCTGCTCCAGAGAGAGAGAAAGCATCTGGGGAGAGGTCTGTGCACTGGAGAGGACAGGGTGATAAGGGGAACGGGAGATAAGTGGGCAGGAAGGGGGGAGATAGGGGAGGGAAGGGGGGAGTAATAAGTCACAGCAAGAATATGTTGTGTTTTCTTTTCAGCAGGAGCCAGAGACGGACGCCACGGAGAGCATTCCTAATTTGAATCTTCGTAACAACTTGAATCCATTTGCTTGACGTTAGCTTGAGCCATTTTTAGCCAATTTCCTTTAACCCCGGGACGCCCTGAATCCTAAAAAGACCAGGACTCCCACAGCCGCCATTTTGACTCACATTCAAACCAATAGATTCTGAGAAAGTCCTGCTCAACATGTTTTGTATTTCAACAAGATTTCTCTCTTGAATTAGAGCTCAGACTGGATTAAGACTTTAAATATAGAAACACTTATAATAACTGCTGCGAGTAAACAGTCGCTATGGTTACCTGCTTTTCTCTGGACCAGAACGAGTCCAGGACCAGCACTTTGAGAAAGGGGTCGGACTGCCCTGGAAACTTCATGGTCATAATTAAAGGTGTGTTAAAGGTAGAGATTCTCACACTTCAAAAATAAAGGATTGTTTCATAAAAGTAGAGGCAGAAATATCAACAGAAGTTATGGAGACACTTCAGGTGGACTGCTCTGGGAGTTTTGTAATATAATGATAATGGTATTACATAGTACTTGACATGACACTAGTGTAGCCACAGCTGCCCTGGGCCCTGTACCCGGCTCAGCGCAGACAGAGCCACAACTGTTCCTCTGTTTCACTGTAAGTACTTTATTTACAGTTTATTATATGACTTGGACCGTACACGCGCTCTGATTGGTTGATTTGTGGTCTGATATTTTCCCATCTCGGACCGTTACCATGACAATCTGTCCGCAGCCCGTATCACACAAAACCAAGTCGGACATGAACATACTTCACAAATATCTCAAAAGCATTGGTAAAGACACAGACGAGAGTCATATAATAAAACATTTATTAACCTCGCTTGCTCGGTCTGTGCAGAGAAATATCAGACCTTGGCCTTTTTGCACAGTACATAAAGGCCGCGGCCTGATATTTCTCCATACAGACCTCGCGCTCGGTTAATGAGCCGTTAATATAGCACATTTCTTACAGACCAAAGTCGCCCAAAGCGCTTCACAATATTCAGAGTTCAGATATTGTTCCATTCTCTCCACACATTGATGACGGCGCAAGACCAGAACACACTGGTCCATCAAAGCCTCCGACCAAACACCCTCCATTCACTCACTCAATACATTCAGACCTATTGTACATGTTTTTAGTAGTAGGGGAAACCGGAGCACCTGGAGGAAACCTACGCAGACACAGGGAGAACATGCCAACTCCACTCAGAAAGGCCCTGTTCCCACTAGGATTTGAACCCAGCACCTTCTTGCTGAGTAGCGAGAAGGCTAACCACTCAGTCACTGTTTTACCAAAGTCTCCATTGTTTTTTTTGTGGAAACCGTTTTGCACTAGATGTAAATGTGTTTGTTCAACCAAATGTTTACCTTTATTCATTTAAGTTTTATATTTTCTGAACAGAATGAGCTCAGGGTCGGGCTGAACCAACACTGGACCAAAACAGAAAAGTAACAGAAATGAACTTGTACTTGCAGTTACCAACAGCCAATCAGGAGAGACGCCATGTTTTAGATACATGTTTTTCAGTGTTGCCTTGAGTGCTCTTTCACAATCCACACTTTGCTGAGATTATGACACATTACAATCTGGCTGATTACCAGAAAGAATGTGTTTAAAGGAGTCATGAGGGTTGGATCATCAGCACCATTCACTTGAGAACATGACATTAAAACTCCATTAAAACACAAAAATAATAATTATTCATAAAATCAGTTTCATACAGCGCTTTTCTGGACGTGGAAGTCTCTTCACATGTCATTATCTATTCACCCCAAACACAGTGGTGATCAACTACTACTGTAGCCACATCTGCCCTGGGGCACACTGATCCAGGACTGAGGCTCTAGATCCAGGACTGAGGCTGTAGACTCAGGACTGGGGCTGTAGACCCAGGACTGAGGCTGTAGACCCAGGACTGAGGCTGTAGACCCAGGACTGGGGCTGTAGACCCAGGACTGAGGCTGTAGACCCAGGACTGAGGTTGTAGACCCAGGACTGAGGCTGTAGATCCAGGACTGAGGCTGTAGACCCAGGACTGGGGCTGTAGACCCAGGACTGAGGCTGTAGACCCAGGACTGAGGCTGTAGACCCAGGACTGAGGCTGTAGACCCATGACTGAGGCTGTAGACCCAGGACTGAGGCTGTCCAGGGGGAGGACATTGAGCTGGTGGACAGCTTCAAGTACCTGTGCTCACATTAACAATAAACTGGACTGGTCCCATAATACAAACGCCCTGCACAAGAAGGGCCAAAGTCGCCTCTTCCTTCTGAGGAGGCTGAGGTCCTTCTGAGGAGGCTGAGGTCCTTCTGAGGAGGCTGAGGTCCATCTGAGGAGGCTGAGGTCCTTCTGAGGAGGCTGAGGTCCTTCTGAGGAGGCTGAGGTCCTTCTGAGGAGGCTGAGGTCCTTCGGAGGAGGCTGAGATCCTTCGGAGTGAGCAGGCCTCTGCTCAGGACTTTTTATGACTCTGTGGTAGCTTCTGCCATTTACTACGCTGCCGTGTGCTGGGCCCCGGGCAGCACAGAGCGGGACAGAAACAGACTGAACAAGCTGGTCAGGAGGGCCAGCTCCACTCTGGGCTGCTCCCTGGACTCTGTGGAGGAGGTGAGGGACAGGAGGCCCCTGGACTCTGTGGAGGAGGTGAGGGACAGGAGGCCCCTGGACTCTGTGGAGGAGGTGAGGGACAGGAGGCCCCTGGACTCTGTGGAGGAGGTGAGGGACAGGAGGCCCCTGGACTCTGTGGAGGAGGTGAGGGACAGGAGGCCCCTGGACTCTGTGGAGGAGGTGAGGGACAGGAGGCCCCTGGACTCTGTGGAGGAGGTGAGGGACAGGAGGCCCCTGGACTCTGTGGAGGAGGTGAGGGACAGGAGGCCCCTGGACTCTGTGGAGGAGGTGAGGGACAGGAGGCCCCTGGACTCTGTGGAGGAAGTGAGGGACAGGAGGCCCCTGGACTCTGTGGAGGAAGTGAGGGACAGGAGTTTCCTGGACTCTGTGGAGGAGGTGAGGGACAGGAGGCCCCTGGACTCTGTGGAGGAGGTGAGGGACAGGAGGCCCCTGGACTCTGTGGAGGAGGTGAGGGACAGGAGGCCCCTGGACTCTGTGGAGGAGGTGAGGGACAGGAGGCCCCTGGACTCTGTGAAGGAGGTGAGGGACAGGAGGCCCCTGGACTCTGTGGAGGAGGTGAGGGACAGGAGGCTCCTGGACTCTGTGGAGGAGGTGAGGGACAGGAGGGTGCTAGCCAAAGCCACCTCCATCATGAACAACACCACCCACTGCACAGGACTGAGGAGGAGCTGAGGAGCTCCTTCAGTGGAAGACTGAGACACCCTCAGTGTAGGAAGGAGCGCTACCGCAGGGCCTTTATCCCCACCGCTGTCAGACTGTACAATAAGTCACTTTAAATGATCACTGTGTGAAAACCTGCACTACTATTGACACTGTTTCCAATTGACACTTGTCACTTTTGTTGTACATAATTATTGTCACTTTATTGTACATATATCCTGCATGTAACATGTTTGCACATTTCCTCCCTTTGCACAATCTGAGTGTCTCTATCCATGCCAAATGTGACACGTACATTTCTCCTCTGTGAGATAAATAAAGCAATCTTATCTTATCTTATCTTAGACCCAGGACTGAGGCTGTAGACCCAGGACTGAGGCTGTAGACTGACTCCATCTACAAGCACTCCATTATTTCCAGGCCAAAACGGGCCACTTACGGCCCGTTTTGGCCTATTATTATCCGCAAACCCAGATAATCATGTTTTTAGAATGTCTCCAGTCTCCCTGAGCGCTCCCGTGCAGCCTGCAGAGATATGATCAACAGCCCACGGTAACACACTCCAACTATAACACCATTCCACCCACACGGCCGCGGCGCCGGCTCCCCGCGTCTGTGTGCACCAAAACGCTCGCTGTGTCATTATTCTAAAAGCAGCGCGGCGTCTGTACAGGCAGCACGGACTCATGAAGACGGTTTGTTCAGACCAGGTGGGGGGAAATACAATATATAGACTAGAGGGGACACCAGTAAGCGTTAGCCTTACTGCAGGCGAGGCCGAGTCTAACACGAGCTAGCTGGAGCTGATTTCTTGTAGCATTAGCCCCGATACAGAAGAGACCATTTATAACATGGGCTAGCTGGAACCATGTGGTGTCGCTGATACCATGATGTGTCGCTGATACCATGATGTGTTGCTGATACCATGATCTCTCGCTGATACCATGTGGGGCCTGGCTCTCTGTAATCACACGGCCCATGTTTGACCAGGACAAAGCTCAGATAGTGATTATGTCGGTGCTGATTGGGACCTAACGAGTCTCACCTTCAGATAATGAAAACAAGGTCAGGTCTCATCAGCATCCGGAGCCTTGGGCCGGTCTCAGCGCAGTCCATCCATCACCGCGCTCTGACCGAAGACCCGTCAGGGAGAGCTGAGGTGAGGTAACCACGGCGACCGCTGGAACAAAACAACCTGGATTTTTTTGTGGATTTTGATTGCATTTTTATTCAGTTCCACATAAGCAGAGGAGAGCGTTCTTATTCAAGTCAATTCAAGGTATTCATGCATCGTCCTAAATCACAGCAGCAGCGTCTCCAAGGACATTACAAAGTTGTCGATTCATCAACAACAGATCAGAAAATCACACAGTTGGGACTCTGGGAAAATGCAGTAATGAAATGACAAACACGCAGAGGCATTGGTCCACAGGGAGTGGGATGAACCACCGTCCAGAAGTGTTCAGAAATGTTCTTCAATGTGTGTATGCTTATCATTCATACTGTTCTGTAACTTGCAATGCAACACTGGAATTTCCCCGCTGTGGATCTCTCTTTCTCGAT